AATTCCAATTAGATGAAAGTTCCGCAGTAGTAGCTCAATAAAGATATTGCGTTAAGCACGGTAATTGATTAGCACCGTCTTTGGGTCTCTAAACTTTGTATTCATTGAACTGAGAGCCTCGAATTGATTAAAACGGTAGCCAAATTCATTTACGATATCATAAATCCGTTGGCACCTCAGTAACGCGAATACAAATTCGCAATAATTTTCGAAGCATGTCTCAATACGTAATTCAGTGGACAGAAACTATAAATCATACCTCGGCTATATAGGGTGTATTATGAAGTAAAAAATACGTAGTGCTGTTTAAAAAAATTAAGATGACCTTGACTTTTTTCCTAAAAAAGAATACAAATTTTGCAAATTTTTAATAATGTAAGCTGATAATATTGTAGCTGATTGAAAATTGACTAACTTTTATTCAAAATAATTTTTGTCAGATCATCTGAAGTGCCAGAAAAATTGTGATCACAGTTATGTGAGACTGTATATATGTACTAATATATTACCTATAAAGTGCGGAATTATATCAGTTTTTAACTAAAGCTACGTTTAAAGCCACATTCGTACCACGATTTTTCGAATAAAATAATTTTGAGATTTTTTTCTCTCAATCTTTTTCATATTGCAGGCACTAACTGTTCAATTTCATTTTAGTAATGCAAAAGCTCATACAATTATAGTTTTAAAACACTGATTTGTCCTGTTTCCGCTTTTCTCTATTTCCCCCCTCATTTTTGTTTTACCAGATCGCATTTACATTGTAACTACTCCAACGTCGCACGAAATCATGAGTACGGACTTGCGAACTATTTGCGGAAGTTATGATGCCCCAGATATACGAAAAACATGGGAGGAACATAACAAGCAGTAGTTTTCGTCGACACGGTGAAAAAAAGTTGCAGGACTGCAGTGGGACTATACTGAACTTTCCGAAGTAGCTTCTGTACCGCGTACTACTGCAGCTACGACAAATGTTACCTCCGGGCGAGTCTGGGACAAATATATTTTTCACGCATCCTCTTTCCTATGCAAAGTGATGAACCTATTACGTTGAGCGATAGCGCGTTTTCTAGATATCGCGATATCCGTCACGACGATTTTCTATTTATTCGCGAAATAACATATCAGTGGATTTTTGCGAAAATCACCAATAAGTCTGGCAGAATAATAAGTCACCGAGAGATAAAATGTCACCGCTTGATTTCCTTTCTTTCTCATTCTGCTTTATTTTCAGAAATTCTTACTTGAAATATCTCTTTCGATCAATATTTGTTAGGAAGACGAACGAATAGTGAACGCAATCAAATTTAAGGATTAAGCATCATTAATGCTTAATCCTTTCTTTAGATATTTTTTATATTGCATATTTAGAGGAAACTGGAGTCAAAAATAACACAGATAAGTTGTAACAGTTACATAAAAAATATATAAACAAAATATAATGCACAAGCGTCAGTAAGAAATATAAATAATTACAATTTCTTATCTCTTTTTTGCGCTTTTGTATTTTGTTTATAACGTTTGTTTTATGTAGGTGTTATAACTTATTTGTGTGTTACTTTTGATTCCAAGTCTCTCCTACTTATGCATTATTCTGTAAAACTATCTATGAGTTGAGGATATTCATACCGAAGAGATTGTAAAAAGAAGGTAAAGGCACTTCTTCGTATTCCAAGTTAAACATAGCATCATAAGATGTTCGATGTTTATACAAAAGTTCTCCCGGGGACTTAATTCTGTGACGTTTTATTTCTTAAAATGGTCTCCACTGTGTATCGGATACCCGGAAAAAGATACGAAGTTCCACGGACAAAAATAGAAAGGAAGTGCCTTCACATCCGCACGTTCAACGAAATAGAAACCGTCGCTAGAGGTATATTAGATTCCTTCGAAAATAAACGAACGTTGATACGAAAAGTATCGAGAAACCATGTATTACACATCGTGATTGAAATTGTCGCGAGACGTCAAAACCTAAATTGAAATTCGTATTTAAATATTACATATTGCGTTGTGTCGATATCAAAAAGTCCGGTAAATATTGCAACGTTATTTATTCGACGCTGCAAACGCCACGGTATACATTATATATCGAGCGATAAGAACAGTCGAGCATAATTTGTATCTCGCTGGTTTCGTTTCGACCCACTTTAAAAGAGTAAATTTTTCACACCTAAATTGACTCGCGGCGCTTGTCGTTTGCAATTAACGGTTACATTTGTAACAGGGAACGTTGAAAATGTAATTTTATTGCAAAACCAGGGACGATAATCTGTTTTACGTTCGTATTAATTTGTACAGAAAGCTCGGTTAGGTACTATATAAATCGATGAATATAATGCAACATAGTTAAATTCTATTTTTCGTATTTTCGTACCAAATGCATTATTTCGAAATTATACCTTTGTAACACAATTGGTATAACGTTCGTTAATAAATCATGTGTGTAATGTTTGATTGAAATAAGGTAAACGAAGCATTAAGCCGGTAACACGGTTTGACGATACAAGCAATTATTAATGTCCCATAATTATTAGCACACGATTATTCAAGAGAGTGAATCACCGTTTCCCGGATTTGCACAGTCATGTTCAACGTTACATTCATAAATGCGACTATTTTTCATTGCTCAATTCGAAAATGCGATTTAGCATTACACAATTACACAATTAATCGAGATTTTACACATCGATTTTAACGATAGTCGTGCACATTGTTTTAATGATAACAAGAATATAAATATCGCTAAAGCTAAGAATTGCCAGATTATAGGATACTTTTTATTTGATGACACAAGTCGATGATACAAATTAATGCAATGGAAAGCATCCAATAATTTCCATTCCAAACCATCATATATTCGATACAATGTACAGCCGTGGACAGAACGGTTGTCGCACTTTTTTTTTAATGGAACTCAGCTTTACTCTCTTAGAGTAATGTAAATGTAAATGAATCGAATGTAAATGATTAGATTTATAAGTAAGAAGTATAAATAAGATTTATAAGTAAGATCTATAAGTAAGAACCAATCGCGAGCAAGCTATATTCCGAAACTCATCGAAAAAAAGTGCCACCGTGTTCTGTTCACGACTGTACATTAACCATCGAATCATAATATATTTAGCCTGCAGCATTAAATTCATAAACGGCTGACCCGAATTATATATAGTTTTATGTGATATTAGGTAATTGATTCTCCGTTATTACTCAAAATGTGATTTGAGTATGATTCGATGTTGGAAGCAAAGCAACGTGAAATTTTGAATAGAGTATCTCTTTACCAAATATAATAGATAAAAATAAAGATTCGTAAAGTATGCACAGAATTTACGAAGCAATTAAAAATAAATAGCGTAATTATTAAAGGCACACCGTTGCGAGCTTTTATCGGTAGAATTAAGCAATATTTCTCTTAACTCGCTATACGAAATGCGTCAACGTGCGAATTCGAGGAGCACAGTATTTACGTGGAGCCGGTACTTAATGGCGAGAAGAAGTTCGAAAGTTAAAGGGCTAAACTTACTGCTGCATTCCGACCTGTGCGCAAGAGACTTCTCGTTGGATTACCGATTCAACAGTCCGAACTTTTCAGCGACTTTACACAAAGCGACATGCCGAAGTCGACTTGGAGCACTGGTCTTATAGAGCAGGATGTTTTAAAAACTGATTGTGCATCGGTAACAATCGTCGATTTGTTCAACGGATTTCCCGAATTGGTAGGTCGCGCGTGATCTGGTTGATCGTTAAAAACATTGTCATCTCGACTTTCATCCTGCCAAAAATATTAACCGGACGAAGTACTTCATGAAAGTAAAACGTTCTCGGCCCCGCGCGCGTTATGAAAGCGCCGCATAATATTAGCATATCCTTTTGGCCGTACGAAGCATATCTCTGTAGTGATAGAGCACGTCGAATATCGTGCGACCGAGAATGAACGGGGAGATTGATGGAATTTTTGAGTTCGTCCAAATATTCACCCCCCCCCCTCCCGCCCGTCTCTCATTCTTTCTGTCCATCGCGTGAATCGACGTTGACACTATCCCTCCACATAAACATACATATATGCATACCGCTTACAGTATAGCTATACAGCGTATGCACATATACTGTTATTTCATGAAAAATGTTTTATTTCGCCAGATGTCCTAAATGCATATGTAACTATCCATCTAGTAGATTTAGAAAAAAAAAAAGAAAAAACTATTTTTAGAGCAACAATCGTAGGATAGAAAGCGACCATATCACGAAAGAGAGAAGAGAGAAAGAGAGAATAAGTCATTGGAAAAAAATTGAAATATTATCTTTTAAAAGCGTGGACATTAAGAGCGTTATGAAGTTACGTAACAAAGGAGAAGTTTAGGTGCCAAGAATATTAAGTTCTTCTAGCGTCGCGCGCGGTCGAAAAGAAGAAGAAGAAAAAAAGCGGAGTGAAAAAGGGAAGGAAAAAGAAAATGAAAGTGTCGGGAAATATATAGTGAAGAGGGAAAAATTAAAACGTTGTTGAGGCGGCACGGAAGAAACAGCGTGTGATATATATTTCGCCGTTGGAGGTGCGACGTCTGTGGGCGAGCTAAACCGAGACAATATTTGCATATCTATTTGTGAAGTACGATTCCACGCACTCCGCGGAATGACGCGAGCTCTTCCCGCCGCAATACCGACAAAACGTCAGGGAGCGGGCGAAACAATGAAAGCTCTCGAAACAGAGCGGCGGGGAGGGGGGGAGGGGAGGAGATGGAAGCTCTCGCCGACGTAGCATCGTCTTGTGTCCAGAAGAAATTTCCGAGTGAAAACAGCGAAGCTATTCCCGAGGACCAACCGCCGCCTCGTTGCTTCTACCAGTCTTCTACAGGGAGAAACTGAATCGTCCCCGTTGCAGCCCTTCCTCATCTGCATTTCGCTTTTATATATTTACTTTCTTTCTCCTTATTTCCGCGCCGTCTTTATGTAGCGAGGCGAGGCAGAAGGAAGAAAAGCACTCTACTCGCGTAGATATTTCTCTTTATGTACACTTGACATATAAAAATTTCAACTCTGAGAATAATTCGTGCCGTTTGTTAAACACAGCTTCAGACGGTAGCGTTACTGTTGTGTTTTCGAGCGTGATTACCAACTTAAAGAACAGTGAGACCGGATTGTAAAATAATATGCTAGAAACCAGAAGAATCTGATTTAAATTCTCATTGAAAGATGCAAGCAACACGTGAGATAGAAAATATCAACGTATAGCATGAAAAATAAGAAAGTCAAAATGACATTCCGTATCAAGATATGTGAATTTGCCTAAATTTAAATGCCTAAATTATTTGGAATAACCTTAAATGACAAAATTCTAAGATATGTGATTCATATTTGGTTGCATTGCTGAAAAAGAATCATGAATCGTCGTGTTACATGTCCAACTAGTGCACAATTACCGTATCACGTAGTTTCGCATAAAATTGACAATAATATTTTAACCATTAAATTACCTAAAGATAGACACCCGATTGAACATCCCGTTCAAGCCGTGGATAGACAAATTGACGAGCCTATTGATGTTAATTGTTCGGATAAATATGGTAAAGTATTATTACAATAATTGTAAAACTAATACAAAATTAAAAAGTAAACTCTATTATGATTTATGATTATTATTTCTACTTAATTACGGTAGAAATACTGATGGGATTATTTGTAAAATTGAGGCACATGTTATTCTTCAAATTTATTGCAAAATATATATCTTTCAAGGTGAGAAATGCAAGAAAGGCTGTCCGAAAATTAATATATTGCATAATCAAGAACCTCCTGCTAAAAAACCGGAGGAAGAAATGTTATTATTAAGGACAACAAGACAAATTACTCCCACCAACGATATGAAGCACAGTCTTGAAGTGGAATTTAAGTCACCACGAAATTATATCCCATTGCCAGAACCAGGACCTACTCCGCCCATAATTATTCCGAAACAACCTGTTATCTTGAAGAAACTTGAAAATAATATGGGTAAAGGTAAAAAAAGTACAAATAAAGGAAGAAACAAGAAGAAATAAAACAAGAAGATAAATGTCAAGCAACACTTTTAAACACCATTTGCGAGAAATATTTTATTTGTGTAAGAAGTCTAGAAAGAAATCCTAATTTGCGATGTACAACAAGGCCAATGATAGATACTTGGAAAAGTAAACTCGCGAATCCAATAAAACTCTTTTAAAGTAAATATATCTACAATTCTTTACTAATAAAATATCAAAAAGTCTTTAAATATAATAAATGTAATAAAAAAACTTTGTCAAATACGAATTAATTTATTCCCATGAAATTTTATCACCATTGTAGGAGTATAATTCTCAAATAAAATGATAATCATATATTTTCCTGGCACTTATTCTTCGGCTATTATTGCAACATAGATCGAACGATTTTGGCGTTAGATACAAACGTCTTACAGATTTACGAGTTGCGAAACTGAAGTGTTCGCCACTTTGTCGAAAACATGGAGGCGTGCGCAGGGTCGAATATCTGAGCGATAAATCACCGGTGGTATTATATTCTTGCCCGTCTTGGGAAACAATAGATCATATTGCGTATATATACACATATATACATACGGATACGCTAGTATTAAACCGTTTTTGGGCCCATTGTCGCCTACCGCCGTCGTAACGGCGACGAGCTTTTTAAGCCGCGCTTTAAGTTCCACCCTTTCTCTCTCTCTCTCTCTCTCTCTCTCTCTCTCTCTCTCTCTCTCTCTCTCTCTCTCTCCCTTGCGATAAATCAGCACGATTTTACCTGCTGGTAAGAGAAACGCGAACGCGAGCGCGAACGGAATCGGCTCTCCGATAAAGAGAGTTTGAAAAAGGAAAGATTTCCGCAAATATTCCATTAGGAAGCGTTCACTAAGAGCCGGTGTAAAGTATCACTCGAAGCTCTCGTATTGCTTCCAATGAGAGAAACCAGAAAGCTAAGGAATATGTGGTAACGGAAAGAAATGCGAGATCAACGAAGGAATGCGAGAGAATCGATATGGATAAAGTGACAAAGGGACCCATTTTTCCGGAAGTGTAAAATATTCATTGCCGAAGTGGCAGCGAGAAAACGATCTTTACGTCGATCTTCGATAGAGTGCGTCGGTTTCAGAGCTTTTTCGATGCTCTTCCTTCATCTTTCTTCTTTTTTCCCCCCATGAATGTACAATATAATCAATCGATATTTGAATGAGATTCTAATTAAAAAAGCTTTTGTGTCTAACACGTCCCTGTTTCAGATTTCTTCCCAAACAGAAAAAAAGTTGGAAAAGTGAGCTTCTAGAGATCTCCCTTCGTTTTACTTTGATTATGTCACGGTCGCCATGTCGTGTCGGTAATCCCCTAGATTTTTACGTCTTAAGCTTCGAGTCTCCCGCCCTCATGAATCAGATGTACTTACGCTGTGCTATGATTTGCGACGCATGATTTTTGCGAGGAAAGTGAAGGAGGAATGGCAAGAGGTAACGCGACGTGAGCCGATAAAAGATCTCGCACATGACGTTTTTCACGCGACGACGTAACGAGTGACAGATCGTTGTTGGCAAAAAGGTGCTGTGGTTACATTCGAAAATTGGAGAGGGATTATTGCTGCTACCACCACGTAGGTAGGGTCGACGTGAAAGGTACATCCGCAATCGAGAGGGGCGGGATGATGAAATGCGTCATTTGTCTGTGCGGACCCAAAATACTCACGGTACTCAACACGAAGAACATCGCGTGCGGTTACGAAGCTGTAAAAGCCTGGCAACGACAAATGCATCCGCTTGTTGGAAAGGCGCGCGAGTGCATGCACAAGTGTTGGCCCGCGCACTGGATGACTGTAATTGGGCGCTGGTTACAGAATTCATTGCCGCGTTTAGGGCCTTAAACGGCCGAGAGATAAATCACGATTAAACACGACCATCAATCTAAACTCCAGCATGTAACGCCATGTAAAACAGAATCCGGCATTGAGAGCGATACAAAAAAGAAGTAAACATATGTGAGGCCCTCGAAAATTCAATGCGTAATTTTTTTCAGCGATTATCAAATATTTATTCAATTAATGCTGCGTATTAATTCTGTCGATGTGTTTATTATATTTGTTAATGTCATTGGACATTGATTATTTTATTATTATTATTATTATTATTATTAGGCGTTAGGAACTCGAAAGCTCATTGCCGCAAATACCAAATCCCGCCACTGTTCCCGTCCCTGAGCAAGATCCCTCCATTTGTGACCCATTTGATTATTTTACTATTTTTTTATTT